GAGATCGTTGCCAAGTGTATAGACTATTGTAACGTATATGGAGATTGTGGTTACGTGTGTGGAGACTGTTGTTACGTATATTAAAACTGTGGGTACGTGTGTTACTGTTATTGTATGTTTTAGACACTGAAGTTACCGTGGGGTGAAATCAAACCCGGGGTTGCAGCGTGACAGGCGAACGCTTTTATCACTAGTTGACCTCGAGATATGGAGAACACATTGGTCCGTAACTAAAGAGTGGTCAAAGGTCAAAATATAACCCAAATCTGATACTTTAACTTGTTAAAGAAACCAGGTGTATTAAGTGAAATTCATTCAACGTGTGTTGCTATAGTGTTCATGGAACATTTTTTTTGAAATTAAACAGTAAGAATTGAAAAGATCACTCAGTTGAATAGGACATTTTCTAATGATCATGCATGAAAATACATGTACACTTTTATGACACTGTTTATGTGACAAGCGAGCTGCATTCATAAACTCATAGTACAAGCTTGGTCGTAATTCTCTGAACGGATTGCCGTCATTTTATGCTTCTGTCTAAATTAGATTCCTATGAATAACAGATGAGGCATAATAAAGGGGCCAGGTCGTTGAAGGTGCAACGGAGGCCAACAGGAAACTGTTTACTGTGTTTGCACGTGAAACGGCAACTGTGAAATTCTCTTTGATGGACACTTTGATGTCATTTTGACTGACTTGTTAATGGTGATGGATGGACGTTTGACGATCGACAAGCCAACAAGGAAATGGCGATATCGTTGTGGTTTGTTTTGAATAGCTTATAAATATATGCAAGAAAAGTCAACAGGATACGACGTGTGTTGTATTGGGAAAATGCCGTACTGTTATATAGCGGTAATTGGCCGTCTCTCTGCATGCCATGTATTCCAATGAACCCGCATGTATCACACTTTTTTGTTATCACTCATGTTCCTACACATTCAAACATACATGCAGGTTTTGACACCACGGGGGTCAGTATTGTCCATCCGTGCACTGAATATACACTGAACGCACAATTCATGAATTTATGATTAGCCAAAGTTATGATCCAGAAGAGCTGTCTGCAAATCAGAACAGGACGATATTTGGTTGTGTTGTATTTGATAGGAGTAACAATTAACGTTTTGATATTGGTCTCTAATTGGCTGGTCAAATCCAATTTTCAAGTGTATATTGGTACATTTGCCCTGCAGTTTAGAATGTTCATATGAACATAGGAAAACCAGAGGAAAACCACCCAGCCTTCATAATGTCATTATGGAGGCTAAGCTGTTTTCGGGGTAGAATAGGTCTTCAGCAACCCATGCTTGCCACAAAAGGCGACTATGCTCGTCGCAAGAGGCGACTAACGGGATCGGGTGGTCAGGCTCGCGTAAAACTAAACTCACTCACTCACTGAGCTGTTTTCATCTGCTTTTCCTGTGCCAACCCAGTTAACAATTGTACATTGTCATAACGTTGTCACAACGTAATTTTATGAACTCCCATTTACGTTGTCACAACGTTGTGGCCTGACAATGTTAAGTTATTTGATGCTGCCGTATTTTACGCTGTCTTAATGTTCAATTTTACGTCAATAGTTGAATAGTTTTCCCAGAAGTGAACAGTACATAAGAAATGAAGCAAAATTCACTTAAATGTTAATTTGTCCATTTGCACGTCGTTTTGGTCGTGTGTTGTGTGAAGGTGTTGCTGACGGACCCCAAAGCATAACATTTTCTCAACGTAACTCGGCAACGTTGTTATTACCTTGTGACATAAAGTTATAAAATGACATAATGACATAACCTGGTGACAAAGTTGTATCATGACATTACCAATCTACAAGCTTCTCACAACGTTGCGGAAATGTTGCGTGTTAGCTGGGAACTTGCGAGTGTCTGGCTAGTGATATGTGTTCTAAATTCCTACAATCAAAGAAATATCGGTATGTCTGCAGTGGCAAAAGATACCTTTGATCCTCTTGCTCCAAATAAATTGTCAGTTCGTAAGTGGTATATGGTGTACGTAAGTGGTATATGGTGTACGTAAGTGGTATACGATGTACATAAGTGGTATATGGTGTACGTAAGTGGTATATGGTGTCCGTAAGTGGTATATGTTGTACGTAAGTGGTATACGGTGTACGTAGGTGGTATATGGTGTACGTAAGTGGTATATGGTGTACGTAAGTGGTATACGGTGTACGTAAGTGGTATATGGTGTACGTACGTGGTATATGGTGTACGTAAGTGGCATACGGTGTACGTCAGTGGTATATGGTGTACGTAAGTGGTATACGGTGTACGTAGGTGGTATATGGTGTACGTAAGTTGTATACGGTGTACGTCAGTGGTATATGTTGTACGTAAGTGGTATACGGTGTACGTCAGTGGTATATGGTGTACATAAGTGGTATACGGTGTACGTAAGTGGTATACGGTGTCCATAAGTGGTATACGGTGTGCGTAAGTGGTATACGGTGTACGTTAGAGGTATATGGTGTACGTAAGTGGATAATGTAAAAATGGATGTGTCAGTGTTTTGGGGACCTTAATTACTTTTCCGAGCCCGACGCAGCTGCTAAATGATGACTAAATATAGAATACGCTAGGATTAAGCTTAGACTTCGAGATAATCAACCCGTGAAGGTCCGGGTTAGAATATTGATCTTCAGTAACCCATGCTTGTCGTAAGAGGCGACTTACGAGATCGGGTGGTCAGGTTCGCTGGCTTGGTTGACGCGTGTCATCGGTTCCCAATTGCGCAGATTGATGCTCATGCTGTTGATCACTGGAACGTCAAGACTCGATTATTTACAGACCGCCGCCATAAAGCTGGAATATTGCTGAGTGCGGCGTAAAACTAAACTCACTAACTCACTCGAGATAACCGCGCGTTCAACACAAGGGTCTTTTAATAATATGTTTTTAACATTTGTATCGCCCAGAAACCTCGACGTATTAATTGGTGTCTGAATGTTTGGGCTTGTTATCATCTTGGTACATGTTTTGCCTCCGGGATATTTTTGTCGATGTTTCATTTATCGTAGTGGACTAAGACAATGAGTCCACCTGTCATCAACACACACACGACAGTCGTAGATCACGGGCGAAAGTCAACACCGACAATGAAGCAGCCGTTTAATGACAGGTCATCGATTATTTCAGCAACTGTGAACTTACAGACTAAAGTGAGCGAGTGTGTGAGTGAGTGAGTGAGTTAGTGAGTTTAGTTTTACACCGCCTTTAGCAATATATTCCAGCAATATCAGGGTAGGTGACACCTGAAATGGGCTTCACACATTTTACCCATGTGGGGAATCGAACCCGGGTCTTCGGCATGACGAGCGAACGCTTTAACCATTCGACTACCCCACCGCCCTACAGACTAAAGTTTGTCTTGACTTGATCAGACTGCTGTTATACTGTACTGATGATAGTTGGAAATATGAAAAAAAATAATTAAATAATCGATAACCACAAAATTCTTTTTTGATGTTTCGTTGAAATAAATATTATTGCTAAGAAACAATACATGATGATAATCAAAGATTATTAGAAATATAAATATACACGATTGTTGGTACTTGATTTGCAACTGTGCCTCTACATACAAGTTTGAATTTATCCAGCGATAAAGACAAAAATGCAGAACAGCCAATGTGTTATTTCTTCTAGAACAGAAGAACAAGCACAGCAACCCTTGACATGCCTATTGTGTGGAACAACGGATATGCCAACCAAAAATACAATATACTATCATGGCAATATCACAACCCCAAGTGTTTCATGAAACCAATCTCTGGTGCATTATTCCATGCCTTGAGCATGTTATCGTAAGAAGCCGGATAGTCATGCACAGTTTCTCGACGTTTTGACGCGTGTGATGGTGGAAGGTGTTGAAATTGTGATCCACATAGCTGACTTACCCCTGCAGTGATAATATACATTAGACGCCAAAAGAAACGTAACCCTCCTACCTTTATGAATTACGATTAATGGATTATAGTGAATATCAAACGGGTGTTCGATGTCAGATATGGGTTATCGATGTCAGATATGGGTGTTCGATATCAGATATGGGTGTTCGATGTCAGATATAGGTGTTTGATGTCAGATATGGGTGTTCGTTATCAAATATGGGTGTTCGAAGTCAGATATGGGTGTTCGATGCCAGATATGAGTGTTCGATGTCAGATATTGGTGTTTGATATCAGATATGGGTGTTCGATGCCAGATATGAGTGTTCGATGTCAGATATAGATGTTTGATGTCAGAAATGGGTGTTCAATGTCAGATATGGGTGTTCGATGCCAGATATGGGTGTTCGATGTCAGATATGGGTGTTCGCTATCAGATATGGGTGTTCAATGTCAGATATGGGTGTTCGATGCCAGATATGAGTGTTCGTTATCAGATATAGGTGTTTGATATCAGATATGGGTGTTCAATGTCAGATATGGGTGTTCGAAATCAGATATAGGTGTTCGATGTCAGATATGGGTGTTCGTTATCAGATATGGGTGTTCGATGTCAGATATGGGTTTTCGATGTCAGATATGGGTGTTTGATGTCAGATATGATTTTACTACAATTGTATTTATACCCTGCACATGTATACATGTAAATTGACACTAATAAATTTCGACATTTTTCTTTTTCTATTTCATCAAATAAATTCATAAGTGTATTAAACAGTAGTAAAGAGTGTGAATGCTTTAATTTCGTGAAATTGTAAGTCCACGTGCAAGCCTTGACTTTGCAGACTATAAAGATGAAAATCACGAAATGCACGTTGCACTTTCACTTTAAAAAGCTCTTCTCGTGTTTTAACATCACATACATCAACAGAAAGACCGACCTTGGCAAGTGTATATATAAAGCGTTTTAAGATTGCAATTCCGTGACAAATCAAATTCCTGCTGCACGAATGTGAAATCACATACATGTAGGTCAGTCCGAAGTTCAGCTTAATGTCTGATAAGGTTTCCATTTCGGTCACACGCAATTCGAGAATCTCGGCCATATGTGTGTTGATTCACGATACTGATTCATCCTGAACACATACAGCCATGACCATACTCTGCTGGCTCGTGCTCTGTGTCAGCGTTAAAGGTAAGCACTTGAGTATGTTATTTTGAATTAAAGTGGTGTTCTATATTCACCCATCCAATACAGCGCAAGTATCAAATCCTAAAGGCTTGTTTACTAACGAACAACCCTGCGGTGAGTTAGCCTTGTGATTATATGGAAAGCCGACATAGGGTTCCATTTCCAACATAGGCACACAGGGTATCTAACGGGATCGGGTGGTTAGGCTCGCTGACTTGGTTGAAACATGTCATCATATCCCAGTTTTGTAGGTCGAAGTTCATGATGTTGATCACCGGATTGTCTGGTCTAGACTCGATAATTACAGGCCGCCTCCCAATAACTGGAATATTGCTGAGTGCGGCGTAAAACTAAACAACAACCAACAACATTATGTATAGCTCGTAAATGGTGTCCTTGATTTTCTTTATATATTACTAGAAGCGGCGAAAAACCATTCAAAGACTTTTAAAAAAGCAAAAACTTCTCAATGACTAAAACAAGGGAATGTGTCTTACGAAAATTGATGGCGAGTTATGATGAGTCAGCATTTCATGTTTCAGGAGGGTTCAGCGTGTGTTCGTCATGTAGCAACATTGCAAAGGTTCCAAGTGGGTAAGACAACACGTGTATATGTTACAAGGAATGTGTGAAACCAGGGATTTCACGTAATCCCTAAAAGAGTGAGTGATTTCGTGAAATCATTGTGACCCCCAGGCATTTCATGTATTCCCTAAAATTTCAAGGGATTTTATGAAATTGCTGATTTTCATGGTGTTCCATGACATACATTCTCTGGTAGGACATCAGTGAATGTGTAAAATGAAGGTTTGAAGGTTAAAACTTTGACAATTTACTGATGAGTCTCATTTGAACCCTCAGTTCTTAGGAGTAAGAAACTCTGACAACTTACTGATGACACTCTTTCCTAATTACTACCTTGAGTCGGGGTGTCATGATAATTTTCTAGAGGCTTTACTGTTGAGTCTTATTTCATCCCTCAGTTTTTACTATCCGGGTACATAATCATTCATAGAAGCAGTGCTGAACTCCAGACCCATCTGAACACACATTCAAACAAAAGTTATGGTTCTTAAAATCGTAGAAGAAAATATGTTTGAACTTGAGATCCCAATCCTTCGTTAATATCACGGCAGCTAAACATCGCTCAAATTATTTAATTTTTTTAATTAGCATGATTTTCCAAAATATTTTTTTCTATGTGCCGCTAACTGCAACTAAAAATGAAGTACATATCGAAACATTACTCGGTATTTTCCAAAACATATATTAAAGGTATACACCTTTGACCTCAAATCAGGTTTCATTCAGTTTTAACATACACCTATATGGGTTAAATATATAACTTGTGGTACCATTACTGGGCAGCGTTGCTAGTGAGAAGCACCACTACTGGGCCTCTGAAATGACTCGAGATGCTCCCGCCCTTTGAGAGTTCCAAACTTTCTTAGTCAAATATCAATAAGGAAGTGTTGGTTTTAGAGTAGCATGGCCATATATTTAAAAACATTGGAAAAGTGTACGTGTAAGTCCTGTACAGACTTTGGACACTGTTAGGGCCGTTGTCTGTACAGGTACTACAAAATATACCCGACCTATCGTTATGTATGATAAATGAGCGCTTATCATGTTAGCATCACATCTGAAGGTCTAGTCAAATTGGCAAAACTCTGACACATGCGTCAAGCACAGGCCCACGTGTCTTTGCGAGGATTAAAGATTTCAAAAATAATATAAAAGAATTGAGATGACCCCCGACTCGAAATGCTTCACAGTACAATAAATCATGATGTATTGTACTGTGAAGTATTTCGAGTCGGGGGTCATCACAAAAAGCATATGTGTCTAATCCTCGCAAAGACACGAGGGCCTGTGGCGCCAAGTCATCATGCTGACATGCCATGCTTTTCCTGAAAATATGCGGCGTAAAACAAATAAAATTACCTATACCTTGCTTCAGGTACCACGCTGTCAGTTACCATACATCGGATGCCCACATAGAGAACCCGGGTCGTGGCTTCTACCAACATCTGGAGACCACATCAAGTCACTTCTCACCTCTCACAGTCAGTTGAATCAAGTCCGTATATCCGGGAGATCCGGGTTAAATCGGTCTTCAGTACCCAATGCTTGTCGTAAGAGGCGACTAACGGGATTGGCTGGTAAGGCTCGCTGACTTGGTAGACAGATGTCCCATTTGTGCAGATCGATGCTCATGCTGTTAAGTACTGGTTTGTCTGGTCAAGACTTGATTAGTCACAGACGACTGCCATATGGCTGGAATATTGTTGAGTGCGGCGTTAAACAACAAACAAACAAACAAACTTGCTCTTTTGATAAATAGAAATCGTGCACTAGCGAGTCTTGCATGCTTGAATGCACGTGTACAAAAACGATTTGTTGAAATGTATTTATGAGCAATGGGGCAAATTTAGTCTCAACATTTCTACTTTACCGGGTTGAACTGCCAGTTAATCATGTAAGTGGGTGAGTATGCTACACCGTTGTTAAATCTATGTCTCAGAACACATTGAAAGAGATCAAGAATCTGAACCCAAGGGAAGAGATGATTGCTTGTCGTCTACTTGGTGGGCAAACGCATTGACCACATGGCCACACCATAATACAATGTTGATAATCCGATCCATGATTGATATAGTGAGCACTTGTTTTATGCCTAATGGATGACTGAGTGAGTGAGTTTAGTTTTACACCGCACTTAGCAATCCAGCTATGGCGGTTAGAATATTGATTTTCAGTAACTCATGCTTGTCGTAAGAGGCGACTAACGGGATCGGGTGGTCAGGCTCGCTGAGTTGGTTGACACATGTCACTGGTTCCCAATTTCGCATATCGATGCTCATGCTGTTGATCACTGGATCGTCTTGTCCAGACTCGATTATTAACAGACCGCCGCTATATAGCTGGAATATTGCTGAGTGTGGCGTAAAACTAAACTCACTCACTCACTCACCAGCTATGGCGGCGGTCTGTAAATAATCGGATCTGGACCAGACAAATCCCGACTCATCATAACTCGACATCAATGTTCGGAAGTCACATTCCTTCAGCAATATCATCATGGAGGCCATATACGAGCTATACGCAGTGTAGTTGGGTGTTGTTTTACGTCGCACTGGACCAGACAATTCGGTGATCAACAGCATGAACATCATTCTACGCAATTGGGATACGATGACATGTGTCAAACCAGTCAGCGAGCCTGACCACTCGATCCCCTTAGTCGCATCTTCCGACAAGCATGGGTTACTGAAGATCAAGTCTTACCCGGATCTTTACGGGTGCCTAATGGATGAATGTGCTGGCTGGGTGAATAGATTTTTGGTGTGAATGAATATACACATTGACGGACAGATGTTTTGTAGAAATTGTATCAGAGGCAGATGCTCTCTACTTCATGAACACCTGGTGTCATAATTGAGTTTCAGCGATCCTTAGTTTTCTAATATTTTCATGGCAATTGTGCTCTATACGTCCAGTAGTATCTGGAAAATGAAGACTGGTAATTCTCTGGCATTGACGTTTTAAGCTAACGATGATGGACGGATAGATATAGGCGATTGTAGGTGATTGATGAACGTTTAATTACGTCATCAGCCTCGTTGCAGGTGCACTACTTGGACACAGTCCGGCAAGATGATTGGGTAAACCTCGGACTGAGGATCTATGTTCTCGACTCGTTTGTACATTCCGCCATCAGCAGCACCTTCCTCAGACATATACGGGATGACCTTGAAGTTGTGAAGGATGCCGGTTGGACCGTGGCTCTGAGGTTCAGCTACACCAGCCACAGTGTAGGTAACGTAGATCACGGGTGTGGGTTACACTGAATACGGTGAGGTAGCCCTGAAAACGGACATAAAACATTAGACACGGTGAGGTCACATTGAACACGGTGAGGTCACATTGGACACGGTGAGGTCACAATGAACACATTGAGGTCACATTGAACATGGTGTTGATAAAACTGAACAAACTTCAGACCTATTGACAAGGATCAAAATTTAGACCTATTGACACGGATCACACTTCAGACCTATTACCACTGAACAAACTTAAGACCTATTACCACTGAACAAACTTCAGACCTATTAACACGGATCAAACTTCAGAACTACTAACACGGATCAAACTTCAGACCTATTAACACGGATCAAACTTCAGACTTATTGACACGGATCACACTTCAGACCTATTACCACTGAACAATCTTCAGACCTATTAACACTGATCAAACTTCAGACCTATTGACAAGGATCAAACATCAGACCTAAAAACACTGAACAAACATGAGACCTATTAACACGGATCAAACTTGAGACCTATATACACGAATCAAACTTCAGACCTATTGACACGGATCAAACTTCAGACCTATTAACACGGATCAAACTTCAGACCTATTAACACGGATCAAACTTCAGACTTATTGACACTGATCAAACTTCAGACCTATTGACACGGATCAAACTTCAGACCTATTGACACGGATCAAGCTTCAGACCTACAGACACTGATCAAACTTCAGACCTATTGACAAGGATCAAACTTCAGACCTATTGACAAGGATCAAACTTCAGACCTATTGACAAGGATCAAACTTCAGACCTATTTACACGGATCAAACTTCAGACCTATTAGCACGGATCAAACTTCAGACCTATTAGCACGGATCAAACTTCAGACCTATTGACACGGATCAAACTTCAGACCTAGTAACACGGATCAAACTTCAGGCCTATTGACACGGATAGAACTTCAGACCTATTGACACGGATCAAACTTCAGACTTATTAACACGGATCAAACTTCAGACCTACAGACACTGATCAAACTTCAGACTTATTGACAAGGATCAAACTTCAGACCTATTGACAAGGATCAAACTTCAGACCTACTAACACGGATCAAACTTGAGACCTAAAAGACACTGATCAAACTTCAGACCTATTAACACTGATCAAACTTCAGACCTATTAACACGGATCAAACTTCAGACCTATTGACACTGATCAAACTTCAGACCTATTAACACGGATCAAAATTCAGACCTATTGACACGGATCAAACTTCAGACCTATTAACACGGATCAAACTTCAGACCTATTAACACTGAACAAACTTAAGACCTATTACCACTGAACAAACTTCAGACCTATTGACACGGATCAAACTTCAGACTTATTAACACGGATCAAACTTCAGACCTACAGACACTGATCAAACTTCAGACCTATTAACACGGATCAAACTTCAGACCTATAGATCAAACTTCAGACCTATAGACAAGGATCAAACTTCAGACCTATTTACACGGATCAAATCTATTAGCACGGATCAAACTTCAGACCTATTAACACGGATCAAACTTCAGACCTACAGACACTGATCAAACTTCAGACCTATTGACAAGGATCAAACTTCAGACCTATTGACAAGGATCAAACTTCAGACCTATTAACACTGAACAAACTTCAGACCTATTAACACGGATCAAACTTCAGACCTATTGACACGGGTCAAACTTCAGATCTATTTACACTGACCATACCCTTGCTGTACACTGTGGAGATAATTTATATATGCACATACGCAGTTACAACGCGTTCGCTATTTCAGTTGCGCTCGACGAAACATATCGTAAAGATGCAAGCACATACCATGTGTATAACACTGTAGAAACCCAGGACTGTTGGTGTATCAGTGTCCCTCATTCCCACAGCGCAATACCGCCCCTTACGGTGACGCAACTAAACAGTGGATGCTGGAGCACATCAGGCAGCTGGGACCGATATGGAAAACATATGAGGGCGTCATATCAGTCATACAAGCGGGCTTCATCGGCATTTGGGGTAATCAATATAATTATAGATTTCATAATACACAATCGTTCGTTTTTTTCACTTTCTGAAATATGTTTTCATCTCTGGTACCATAATAATAATTACAGGAGAAAATTTCCAATGAAGGCTTTCAATCGAAGTTTTGTAATATAACAGATCACATATTAATAATTTGGTAGTTTAACAGAGTGAAAAGTGCTTCAATTTTTGGAGGTGATGATTTTCGATTCAGTCAGTGTATGGCATCCTATTTACGCACTGAAAACAAGTTTGCCAAAACATTGTGTTGTGTTCCTCTGAACTCGCACAGCCTCAAGCGATTTCAAGGCAGTCATGCTCTTTTTTCTATTCGAACGGAAAATGTGACCCACGACAATAAAAGTGACATTTACTTTCTTGTTTTGATGACAGGCGAGTGGTACTACACGACCTATTTTGGAAATCCCAACCACTTGACCAATGGGCTGTCAGCACGAAATTGGCAGGATCGTAGAGATGTTCTCACCGCCATTATCGACAACTCGCCAACTTCAATGTAGATACAAATGATTGACGTGTTACAAGGTTTTGTTCGTGAGCATTACCGTTTCGTGAACAGACATAGGATGTACCGTTCTACTGAAAGGCCATGAAAACTATTGTATTGTGTGTAAACGTTCGCCATGCTTTAATTAAAAGATATAAATCTGAAATATGGTATAGTTGCAATTAGCATATGAAACCCACAAACGTTATCGCCTGTTGCCTTATTGTTTTTTCGCTTTCGTTTTTTTTCCTTTACGTTTGTTTGGTTCGGTGTTTCTATTTTAGTGTGTGTGTGTGTGTGTGTGTGTGTGTGTGTGTGTGTGTGTGTGTGTGTGTGTGTGTGTGTGTGTGTGTGTGTGTGTGTGTGTGTGTGTGTGTGTGTGTAAGTGTGTGTGTGTGTGTGTAAGTGTGTGTGTTCCTTATGGTGACAAATGATTTCACCATTCATATAATGGCTTTCATTCGTCAAGATATAATTATGTTTTATACGATAGTGTACCCATACCACATCATTTCATGACATGAAAGCTATAGAAGATAATATTTATTTTACATTAATTTGATATATCATGTAGCTTATTGTATGAAATTGACAGCTGTTATATCGCATCATGGTATATCATTTTCATAGCCCCGTCCAAGTTCGAACTCCGCACTACAAGATGAAGCTTTGGAACAGCAACACGCCTTCCAGTCTGGCTGACGTGGAGAGACACACACACGCTGGAAGAACAGGTACTTGCCTATACTTGCTAGTACTTGTCTATACTTGCTAGTACTTGTCTATACTTGCTAGTACTTGTCTATACTTGCTAGTACTTGTCTATACTTGCTAGTACTTGTCTATACTTGCTAGTACTTGTCTATACTTGCTAGTACTTGTCTATACTTGCTAGTACTTGTCTATACTTACTGCTAGTACTTGCTAGTACTTGTCTATACTTGCTAGTACTTGCGTATACCTGCTAGTACTTGTCTATACTTGCTAGTACTAGTCTATACTTGCTAGTACTTGTCTTTACTTGCTAGTACTTGTCTATACTTGCTAGTACGTGTCTATACTTGCTAGTACTTGCCTATACTTGCTAGTACTTGCGTATACCTGCTAGTACTTGCCTATGTTTGCTAGCACTTGTCTGTACTTGCTAGTACGTGTCTATACTGGCTAGTACTTGTCTGTACTTGCTAGTACTTGCCTATACTTGCTAGTACTTGTCTATACTGGCTAGTACTTGTTTGTATTAAATTCTACTTTCTGTAACTTTGTACCTAGTGCACGTCAGGACAAGTGGTTTAAGGTTCCTCAATTTTCCGATCAACACGTAATGGGTTCGAATCCCTGATTATTGCTCTTAAATATCTGTATAAACTTTGACGTCTTCTACAAACACCTTGTTTTAAGAATAGCACGCTTGAATAAGTAGGATAACGTTTATGAGCTCTCTCGGGGCATCAATCTAAATCGGTACAATGTGTGAAGCCCATTTCTGGTTTCCCCGCCCTGATATTGCTGGAATATTGCTGAAAGCGGCGTAAAACCAAACTCAGTCAGTCAGTCAGTCAATCTAAATCGAAGTAAAACTACTGAAGTACATGTACAGATAATTTTGGTATCCTCATTTTGTCGTTTGCCTATTGTGTAGATCGATGCTCGTGATATCAATCACTAGATTGTCTGGTCCAGGCTGGACTATTTACAGACCACCATCATACAGTTGATATCATGCTGTATAGCGTCGAACACACAATTGTACTGCCGCTCGTTCACCTATTCCCTATCTCAGATCATTTTTTTCTTTTAGAATGCCAGCGATTGCTTTTGCTGGACGTCCTAAATACAGATAGAAAGTGGGACGGTGGGGTAGCCTAATGGTTAAAGCGTTCGCTCTGCACGCTGAGGAACTGGGTTTGATACCATACATGGGTAGAATGTTTGAAGCCCATTTCTGGTGTCCCCCGCCGTGATATTTCTGGAATATTGCTAAAAGCGGCGTGAAACTATACTCACTCAGATAGAAAAGTATGCACATGTTTATAACTAAACTACAATCGTCTCTAAACATATTTCTTATTTGAGAAGTCGGTGGTATAGAGATGACAAAACCTTATGGATGGTCAATTTCTTTACTTTCACAATAGCGACGTTTCGGTATAGCTTGCTTGAAAACGGTATAAGAATCTACACCAAACGTCGCTATTGAGAAAATAAAGAAATTAATCATCCATAAAGTTTTGTCATCTCTAAAAATATTTCCACGAAAAATATTGAATGGTCATTTAGGTCACCATAACGACTGTTTCCTGGCCAGCGACGATGATGTTGGTACATACGATGACGTGGCGGCAGAAAAGTCGTATCTAGCTCGTGACACGGAATATGTTCCCATCGGAGGCGAGACATGCGGAAGAGCTCCACTGAAGTAAGATCAGTTAGCAGACTATGTAGTTATTGTGACGATTTTCATGTCGTCCATAGATTATCAAACACATGTTTTTGTAAATGTCCCCAGTATTCCGTGCTTGTCACGTGAGTATAAAGTGGATACAGTTGTGACTGACTGTTAGCGTATCCTTACAGTGACCATCTGTGCTCGTGCTATCAACCACTGGTCTTCATGATCAACATTTGATATGCTGCCCGCTGCGATGTAGCTTAACTGAGTGATTGAGTGAGTGATATGGTTTTACATCGCTTTTAGCAATATTCCGGCAATATCACAGCGGGGGACACCAGAAATGGGCTTCACAGATTGTACCCATGTTGGGAATCGAACCCGAACCGTCGGCGTGACGATCGGACACTTTAACCACTAGGCTACCCGCCCCTAGTTTTAAATGAAACGCCATTCACTCAGGAGACCCTCTCACAGTGAATGAGTGAGTTGGGTTTATCTCCGTTTCTAACAATACTCGAGTTACATCACGGGAGTACAATGTGTGAAACCCATTTCTGGTGTCCCCTGCTGTGATATTGCTGGAATATTGCTAAAAGCGGCGTAAAACCCAACTCTCTCACTCAGCTATATCAAGACCTGTGAGAGAGAAAGAGTGATGCCGGTGGCAGATATGAGCAACTTTGGTGAAACCCTCAAGCACATGTTGGGGACGAATCGGGATAGGTTTCTTGCGTGTTTGAAGGACGCAACACTTCCCAGCGAATTTGACGTCAATGACGACTCGTCACCCATGTCCCCAACACAAGCCATATAAATGTAAATTGGAAACAGTATATCTATTCAACATATCGTCATTTGTATTCTTCCCCACATGGGTACAATGTATGAAGCCCATTTCTGGTGTCCCCCGCCGTGATATTGCTAAAAGCGGCGTAAAACCATATTCAGGAGACACTGTTTACGTTTGTTTTAAATTGTATTTCTCGGTTTCGCCTTAGGATTGTCTGGTCCTATAGATATTATATACCTATGTTCCAGACATGGTAGTCACCCGAGTGATTGTCTGGCCCTATATACCTATGTTCCAGACATGGTAGTCACCCGAGTGATTGTCTGGCCCTATATACCTATGTTCCAGACATGGTAGTCACCCGAGTGATTGTCTGGCCCTATATACCTATGTTCCAGACACGGTAGTCACCCGAGTGATTGTCTGGCCCTATATACCTATGTTCCAGTTTGAGTGTGTTCAAGGGAGATTACTCCGTGCTAACCAGAAATATGTTATACAACAGACATGCAAAAATATCTGCCAATAAGCTCAGGTGTCGTCAGCCCGAGTTTTGCGCTTCTTGGTCTTGCCACCTTCTGGTGGCTGCTCTGAGGAAGTTCTTCTTTTCTTTCCCTCCTCTTCCTTCTCTTGGAGCTCTCCACGTCTGGACTGTCGTAACATCTTCGTCTCATTGCTTTGAACCATCAACTGGGTGCTGACATATTGCTCACGGTAGTCACCCGAGTGATTGTCTGGCCCTATATACCTATGTTCCAGACATGGTAGTCACCCGAGTGATTGTCTGGCCCTATATACCTATGTTCCAGACACGGTAGTCACCCGAGTGATTGTCTGGCCCTATATACCTATGTTCCAGACATGGTAGTCACCCGAGTGATTGTCTGGCCCTATATACCTATGTTCCAGACACGGTAGTCACCCGAGTGATTGTCTGGCCCTATATACCTATGTTCCAGACACGGTAGTCACCCGAGTGATTGTCTGGCCCTATATACCTATGTTCCAGACACGGTAGTCACCCGAGTGATTGTCTGGCCCTATATACCTATGTTCCAGACATGGTAGTCACCCGAGTGATTGTCTGGCCCTATATACCTATGTTCCAGACATGGTAGTCACCGGAGTGATTGTCTGGCCCTATATACCTATGTTCCGGACACGGTAGTCGCCGGAGTGATTGTCTGGCCCTATATACCTATGTTCCAGACACGGTAGTCACCCGAGTGATTGTCTGGCCCTATATACCTATGTTCCAGACATGGTAGTCACCCGAGTGATTGTCTGGCCCTATATACCTATGTTCCAGACATGGTAGTCACCCGAGTGATTGTCTGGCCCTATATACCTATGTTCCAGACATGGTAGTCACCCGAGTGATTGTCTGGCCCTATATACCTATGTTCCAGACATGGTAGTCACCGGAGTGATTGTCTGGTCCTATATACCTATGTTCCAAAAATGGTAGTCACCCGAGTGATTGTCTGGCCCTATATACCTATGTTCCAGACATGGTAGTCACCGGAGTGATTGTCCAACTGCTTTGAAGGAACTGAAGGAATTCCACTGGTCCTTTATCAACAAGGGTTATTCCCCTGAAGTGTTGGGCGACTGGAAATCTCAGGGCTGTTTTGTTAAAATACACAGGGACCTGGGGTACAGGTTATCTCTAAAACAGGTGTGTTTGTTTTTGATCTCCTACGTAATGCGTTTGTCGATGTCTTTTCAGGCCAAATACATCCCTTAATACTCCAGGATAATCTGATCTGTGCTTAATTCATCAACCGATTTTCGTCTTCAAGAAAATGGACATGGTGAAAAACGCTTGTTAAGCTACATGCGCTGTAGATTTTATAGACCAGTCTATAAATAGTTTTAATATTACAACTGCCATTTAAACATCCTTCATTTCCTCACATACTGAGCGGTACATTTGTACATAATACGTCTTGTAAAAATACATTGTCCGAACGGAGATAAATTCAGATATAGATATAGAAGGTCAGTGGAAAAGAATACACAGTCTTGAATATCCTTAGAACCCAACGTCATAGACATATACTCTGAAGTGCTGTTTTGATGTATTTTTAATCAGTGCGCAATGCTTGGTTTCCATGTCAACGATGAAGCTTTCCTTTTGCTGACGAAGTGTGTTACTGTTTCAGGCGGTGCTTCCTACAAAGACAGCCCATGGAGGAATCCTGTGTTTCCACCTGGTTCTCGGTAACACAGGTTACGCAGCTCCCTACAAACCCTGGACCGTCAGGCTCGTTCTCAAAGCGAAATCTGGGTGTGTTTACCGCTCCTAGTTCATGATTTTACTCAGCTTCAGTATCCTGCACGCGAGTCGCGAGTGCGTATAACATATCACATATCCCCAACACATATCACACAGCCCCAACAAATATCACACAGCCACAACACATATCACACAGCCAAACACATATCACACAGCCCCAACACATATCACACAGCCCCAACACATATCATACAGCCAAACACATATCACACAGCCTCAACACATATCACACAGCTACAACACATATCACACAACCCCAACACATATCATACAGCTACAACACATATCACACAGCTACAACACATATCACACAACCACAACACATATCACACAACCCCAACACATATCACACAGCCACAACACATATCACACAGCCTAAACACATATCACACAGCTACAACACATATCACACAGCCTAAACACATATCATACAGCTACAACACATATCACACAGCTACAACACATATCACACAACCACAACACATATCACACAGCCACAACACATATCACACAACCACAACACATATCACACAGCCCCAACACATATCACACAGCTACAACACATATCACACAGCCTAAACACATATCACACAGCTACAACACATATCACACAGCCCAACACATATCACACAGCCAAACACATATCACACAGCCTCAACACATATCACACAGCTACAACACATATCACACAACCCCAACACATATCATACAGCTACAAACACATATCATATCACACATATCACACAGCTCAACACACATCATCACACAACCCCAACACATATCATATCACACAGCCACAACACATATCACACACTAAACACATATCACACAGCTATCACATATCACACAGCTACAACACATATCACACACATTATCACACAGCTACAACACATATCATACAGCTACAACACATATCACACAGCCACAACACACACATACACAACCACAACACATATCACACAGCACATATCACAACACACACATATCATACAGCCCCAACACATATCACACAGCCACATATCACACAACCCCAACACATACATCACACAACCCCAACACATATCATACAGCCCCAACACATATCACACAGCCTCAACACATATCATACAACCCCAAACACATATCACACAGCCCAAACACATATCACACAACCCCAACACACAACATACGTATCACACATATCCCCTCAACACATATCACACAGCCCCAACACATATCACACAGCCCCAACAACACACAGCCCAAACACATATCACACAGCCTCAACACATATCACACAGCCAAAACACATATCACACAGCCCCAACACATATCAACACATTTCACACAGCCTCAACACATATCACACAGCCAAACACATATCACACAGCCTCAACACATATAACACAACCCCAACACATATCACACAGCCCAAACACATATCATACAGCCTCAACACATATCACACAGCCAAAACACAAATCACACAGCCCCAACACATATCACACAACCTCAACACATATAACACAACCCCAACACATATCACACAGCCCAAACACATATCACACAGCCTCAACACATATCACACAGCCACAACACATATCACACAACCCCAACACATATCACACAGCCACAACACATATCACACAGCCTCAACACATATCACACAGCCTCAACACATATCACACAGCCCCAACACATATCAACACATTTCACACAGCGTCAACACATATCACACAGCCAAACACATATCACACAGCCTCAACACATATCACACAGCCAAACACATATCACACTGCCAAAACACATATCACACAGCCACAATACATATCACACAGCGAAAACACATATCACACAGCCTCAACACATATCACACAGCCCCAACACATATCACACAGCCCCAACACATATCAACAAATATCACACAGCCCCAACACAATTCACTCAGCCCAAACACATTGGACACAGCCCGAAATCATAGAATTAGCCCTCACGTTACACGATTCAATTGATTAACATGAGGGAGATGCATACACTGTTCTGAAATGTATTTACACGAAGGATGTGAACATTATCAAACTGATAGAGTTTCAACATTATAGTATGTATATATGTTGTAGCGGAAGATTTTACTCCGCTTCACTGCCCAATGTTGACGTGAGACGATGGACTGCTGGACAGGACCATCCTGTTGATGGGAGCATCGGGGTACCACCATCCCTGCCAGTAGGGTCGTATGAGGTACTGTGCCTTGAATAAACCACGTGCTGGTTTTCTCCGAGTGAGTGAATGAGTCGTGTCTTACGCGTGCGTGTACCAATATTCCAGCAATATCTCGAAAGGGACACCAGACATAGGTTTCACACATTGTACCCTTACTCAACCAGCTTGACGACCGAACACTTTAACCACTAGGCTACCTTACTGCAAGGAAATGCTGGGATGTGAGCGTAAATCCGACGGGACATGAACCAATTCAAGACAGTTTGGTTATCTTTGGGATGAGGTCTTGCCTTAGCACTTGAAAGCATTTTCCTCCTTATTAATGCATTTATATGACATGTGAAATAATTATATTTAACATATGTAATATTGGTGTTGTTTATTCGGAATTAAACAAAAATACTTGACACCACAACATTTATCCTGTACTTCAACTAATCCTGAATTATATTCGTGTTGTACAACGTTCTTGGCTTGGGTTAGGTAGCCTAGTGGTTAAAGGGTTCGCTCGTCACGCCGAAGACCCGGGTTCGATTCCCCACATGGGTACAATATGTGAAGCCCATTTCTGGTGTCCCCCGTCATGATATTGACTAATATTGCTAAAAGCGGCTTAAACCCCAAGCCACCCACTCACCGTTAGACGCTGAACAACATTCATTGTGATTGTTGGCGTGTTGCAACTATATGGTCAACTTCCGTGACAGGTGTTCCTGGCCATATATGACGAGAAGATGGAGAGCCATGCTGACTACTATGTCATGCTGGCTAATACAAATGTACCTGACTTTGCTGCTGGTATCAACGACCTCAAGGCTACTGTTCAGGCAAGCTACTTTACATTCATACAGTGCACTGTATCTGCCCTTGCATTGGCCCCATCGTTTTATCAAGCTGGTCATGTAATTGCATTTATAGTTGTTTGTATTGACAATCTCCGGATGCTCCACACAAATAATTATCATTGGTAAAATGATATTATGGATGTGTGCCTTTGCGCTTTTGCCTATAAAACGTTTATGAGCGTCAGCATAGCAGAACCAAAGAAAAGCATACAAATATGATGGGGATACAGGAAATGAATTATAACTTATCCTTATGATTATGTTAAAGGTCAAATGCAAACAAAACATCAAACATAATTAAAACACAATTATCACTCATTGTGGGTGTATATATAGATATGTTGGGTTTTGTAATACATGCTCTTTTTTGTGTATAACATTTTGCAATCAACAGACATCATAACATGTCATGTGTTCAAGTATCACACCTGCCTGTCTCTGTAATTACATAATGTGACAGAGACCGAACTCGGGCCATAAATCAATGCGTTTTGTTTATGGTGTATAGTGTGATAGGTGTTAAGTTCAAATTGCATGTGGCCATTGATTGAAATTGTGTATTGAATATTGTCATTAGCAGGCGCGCAGGCAGACACATCGGTGCCAATAAAACATACTTTGAGTTTTGTCTGTGACAACGACATATCTATATCACAGTTAGAAATTCTGTCAACGCTAAATAATGACATTGGTGAAATAGACAAATGAAATTATATAAACAGTTAAATCAGTAATCTACTGTAATAACATATAAAAAGCTCGCGCCTGTGCAATATCAACAAAACATTAGAAAAATAGCTCACACCAAAGCCTTCACCGAATATTCACCGGACAACCCGCTTCCAAGCTCCGCGAACCTATTTCACTGCGCATGTGCTATGAGCGCACCCCGGTTGAAACCACTTCAATTCCCCCAAGCGCTTGGGAAAAAATTAGTAAATCGTTTAAACTACGATTTCGCGCGTTTTTTTTCATCGCGTTATTTTTCAACTTTATATGTTGAATTTGCATTTTTGATGATTTGTTTCGGTAAGTCCATACCGAAGAGTATCAGAATCTGCAAAGTTGTGTTTTACGTTGCATGTGGCCTTTAATAAAATGTACCTAGACACAAATCCGCTATCAAACTGGACGACAGAGTGAAAGGTTTACTTATTTATTAGACTAAATGTTTAATAATATAAACCTCGAGTTAATATTGAGAGTTAACGATGGTTTTCAAATGCATTGATCTGAACTATAATACATAGTGTGGAATGATATCAACACATCTATTGTCGCAGGTAACCGGTTCCGGTACTCACACTCCGACAGGCTGCCCCACCCTGTCGTCTTGGACGCCTCCCTCAAGGAGCAAGTACAGCAGGGTGTTGGGGAAAGGTTGATGTACTTTCAGACTGAATAACATTTCTACTGATCGCAACTGTTCTCTGGTTCATTCAAAACCATTTTTGTGTTTTAATTTTGACATTGTTAAGCTCAATGAAACATTACATTATTGACTATGTGAACTCACACTGGTCGTGTCATAAAGTAACGGTTCCCAAAAACTCCCTCGGAAACGACAAACGACGACTTCAGACAAAACATGTGCACAATGACAACTTCCAGTGTGCATAGTGGCTCATATGCCATCAGTCTGACCATCTAAGGTTAGTATTCAGAGATTAATTATCAATGTGGGATTTGTGTGTCTAAATGTGCACACGCTGCACTTAAAGTAAGGATAGCTGGCTCTATACCATATTTTAGGTCGATATTTCCGACACAATCGCCTTATTACGTCCTGCAACCTATGAAGAGAATGTTTGCTTTTGTGAGTGTGAAGAGTGTGCCCAGGAGGATCCCCTAACAATCTTCTTTTAATTGGGTGGTGATTTGAATAAATTGTTGACAAATGTAAACGACATAAGAAAAAGATTGGAAACATGATGAAAGCGGAGCAACTCCACGGGAAGGATGCAAAATGCCTCTTTTAGGACATCAACAGAAGCAAACGAACGGAGGGTTCAACAAATACAAGTTCTCAAAGCGGAAAGGAGGGGAAGAGTAGATCTACGGGAATTCACAGCCACCGAACAAGTGACTGATTCCTCAAACATAGATACGTAGAAAGCAAAGTTTAACAATTTCAGGCTGGTATACTGGCAGGTTATTATGAAAACTGGGAATGTTTTACCTCTGTCCTAGAAATTGTAGACATGATACGAGAGGACACCAGTGCATTCCTTCCCCATAACCTAATTCTTTAGTGAAAGAGAGAAAAAAAATATTTGTCTGGAAGGGAAAAAAATCCTGGATGAAAACGTTACAGACTTAACGAAGAGAGAGTGAGTGAGTTGGGTTTTACGCCGATTCTTACTAATATTCCAGCAATATCCATAAGTTGGCTTCAACATTGTACCCATGTCAGGAATCGAACCCGGGCCTTCTAGGTGATGAGTGAATGCTTTAACGACAAGGCTGTCGAATAGCAAAACATGGAGGATAGTTGAGGAAGAAAGCCATTATATCAAGCACCTTGAGTTATATGCTGTTTTCGTATGGAACTTAAGATGTGAAGTAAGATGTCAGAGTGTCAAGGTCGTAAGTGACAACACAACCGCCATATCATGTATCTGAGTACAAACCATTCCACAGTAACTAATAAGAAACAAGAAAAACAGGCAACGTTGAGTATGAGAGTTTGAGAAGGGAAATTGAATATTGAAAAAATTAGCAGATTATGTGAAAGACTGAGTGCATATCCTGAGGTTGATATGTTGGCTTGTAGATAAAAGTATCAGGTGAAAACTTTTGTGTGGTTTCATGGGCATCTGCCAAAGACTGTTTCACTATTCCTCTCAACACATGATGCCACAGGTACTACAGAAGATAGAAGAAAAAAGGACAACACAAGCAATCATTGTACCCCATTGGACAACACAGACTTGATTGCCCCGACTACTGACGATGTTCATCGCTTACCCAGTGTCGTTACCAAGCGGACAGAAAACAGTACTTCCCAGTCAATCACAGGATGTTCGCACACTGCACAGAACTTTGACACTTGTGGCATGCCGCTGGTCAGGCAACTGTTTGTGGGTAAAGGACTTTCGAAACCGTCTGCAGATATCATCTCAAGACGTTATCGTTCGTGTAAAAGGAAGAAAAACTCTCAGACCGTGGGGGTTTTATTACAAAGGACGAAAAGCTGATCCATTTCATCTACCTATAGAAATTGATATTGATTTGGTTGCAAATATATGTCAGAGGGTGATACCCTATCTCACAAAGTACTTTGATGATTGTTGTGATCTATGAATCTTTGTGTGTTAAAATCTATTGGCTTGAAATGTGTGTATAGTTATAGGGGCATTGTTATGAGTATGTGCATTTGTTAATTATAATGTCACATGAATGAACTTTTGGTTGTTATGGGTCGCAAAAGTCTAAAGGGCTGAATGTGGATTTGAACTCGCATCTTGAACTTAGGCTATGTAATTTCACCTGTTAACAGTGGGTTGAGAAACTGCCTTCTTTTGTTTTGTTTCCTGTCTGATTCTGGAAGCGCCGAGATGATTGTGGTTTGGCATAGCTTTTACTAGAAAAATCCAGAACTGTGTAATATGTATATAAGGGATAGTTGTTGAGATGTACGAGAGGGACTACTTTGGATTTACGCTCATCTTCTGTTATCATCGACGTTTCAACACCGGTCAAGAGGCCTCGTCTACATTGAACTTTCAACAGTTGTCATCAAACTTCAACCAGTATGAGTACATCTATTTTTACGGGGAATATCAAGACCTTGGTGACTATAGACATTCAGTTAATATTTTAGATTTGTGACCCAATCGTATTGCATAAGAAAGCTGTACTGGCATTCACTGTAACCTTCTTTATCATTCATTCAATATATAATTGAATATTATCAATTCGTTTGTGTTTTATTTTGCTTGTTTAATGGGGACTGACAAGCCTTTTATCACGGTAATTTCTAAACCGTAACAGTATGTACAGTGAGCATTGTTGAATTCACCTTGAAATGAACGTGGTGTGTAGACCTTGAAATATTCCTTTACTTTCATAAAGCGATGGCCAAGTGAAACACATACAAAATGTACCCCTATATGAATAGTCCTAAATGTAACTGTTATGAATGACATTATTCCTTTATTCAATTCTCTTTCGTTTCCTTATACCGAATCATTTTCCACTCGTCAGTTACAGTTATAAATTCTTCAATTCCTAATTTTCCATGTAACCTTAGCTTCCTGCCTGTCCATGCTCACTCCGAGAATGTTACCTGTACCGAGAGAATGAATGAGAATATCCTCGTCAGTAACCCATGCTTGTCAGAAGAGCAGTGAATACAGCAATTTGCCAAGTAACCTTATCTTCAGTAACCATTCATTACTTTTAGATAATGAAGCTAACGCTCCTGCACTCATCTCAAGTGAATACTTTAAATAATGACAAAAGCTATGTTTTGTAGCGAAACATCAAACGAGGGTCAGCCATCTTTGATGATGTCACAATGTCGCAAAATAGGTAACAGATGTTAATGACTGTTAATTTTAATGACACCTTATAGTCAATAATATATTGAAAACGCTAAGTATTGTGCGAGTGCATATATTAAATCCACGGTCTTCCATGCAGTATGTGTTGCAAATACAGCTATCGTGCCCTTTAAACAATCGATCTACGCAACTGGATACGATGACATTTGTCCATTAAGTCAGCGAGCCTGACCACCCGATCCCGTAAGTCGCCTCTTACGACAGGCATGGGTTGCTGAAGATCAGTTCGAACCGGATCTTCAACTCAACATTGTCCAAAGACATGCTTTCACTTCCTCGCCGGATACAGTTGAGGTCAAGCAGACAGCTATTTTTTTCTCACATAAGCATTTAAAATGAAAATGAATTGAAAAAATAAGTATGTTTAGTAATGCGAAAAAAAATGTTTTGTTCTGAAACAATATCACCGTCTGTACTGTCAAACAAGCGAACATATCATACCTATGTAAGTTTTCTGCATCACCTAACTGCCACGAAGACAGGTATATGTAATGTAGACAATTGATTCCTTATAGACACATTGTCCATACAACCGTGATTCCAGAACAAATCAGAAAACCCACGTGTTTAAGGAATGAAAGTAGTTTAATTCTGAGAAATGTATGCATAAGAATAATTGATAGAAATTAAACACAAGTAACCAAAACAATTGTTAACAGTACCGCACAGATATTGTTCTAATCTGCATAAACAACTACAACTATGAAGTAATACGATACATTCATGATGCATTGGCACGTGTCACAGAGATTACAGCGATGGTAAATTGTGAATGGCCTTTATAACAATGATGTGTCATACTTCACATAACAAAGCGAATTTTAAAAAGGTGGATGTGGATGGATATCAATAACTAAAACGTAAATGAAAGTAAAACTAGCCTTCAAATGTGAAAAAGAGATTATATACAATATATGTAAACCAAACCTGGTTCAGTCAATCCTGAACAGGACACCATCAGTATAAGGAAATAAAGTGTAGCGGGCTCGATACAAATTCAGGAACTAGACAAAGTGGACATACGGTTTCGGAATTGTCACAATTGTTGGTTTAACAGGACTGCCTCTGACGTTCTTAACTTGCATTGAAAAGATGGATGAAAACGAAGACAATTGTTCTGATAACAACCTGTTCATTGTTTGCAATGATCTTTTATGGATCTGCCTTCCCCTTCTTGGCCGATTCCTCAAAATAGACACACAAAACTGATCGCCAGTCAAGCATTCACCTGAAGCAAACTATTCGGTAATGACTTGGCAGCGCTGCACATGAACAATCAAACTCAACCGACACGTCTACGTGGGGATTAGCATCCTCGAATTATCCAAACATCTCATGTACGATTTCTACTACAACCGACTTAAGAAGCAATATGGCGATCGATGCTTTGTAGATGTCAACATAACACTCTAGGTCTGAAGTTCAGCAAATTCCCTTTAGACCAGCAGTTTCACTCTGTAATTGGCAGTGCATTCACGCTATATATTGCTCATACGCTTTGCGAGCTTATGTAACCCAATTCTAACTTAGCATATTGTGGCTTCTAAACATGTTTTCAGCGTCCATTGACTAATGTATCATATTCAGCGTTGTTCAAGCTACCTACGGGAATCGTGTTTGTATTTTATGAGACATTGATTCGAGGTGAAAAAAGCTACAAAACGTGTTCGAAGTGAGCGATCTCATTGAAGCGGATGTGGAATGACGTCATAACACGGGTTTCAGACATCCTTTGCGCTACTATAGACAGAGCCCGGTTTATGAGAATGATGCAATCTCAGGATAGACCCGTTAAACCGAGCACTTCAGGTCCTCTGTGGATCAGTAGAACGACTGCTGTGGTACGATCAAGGTACAGAGATGCGCAACTCTGTCACTGAGGTTCGAAGCCTGCCGTTCGAATAAAACCACACGAAGCTCTCAGGGAGAGCGCAGTCGACCACAACTCCACG